ATTAGTATTGTCAGATGTTAGTAACTGAAAATTTGATCCCTAAATTTGGTGAACAACTCACCTGCCTTAATAAGGTGCGTGACCATCAAGTCACTTGATGGAGTTCGTTAAAATTTTTGTTCAGTTGAGTTTTATGTAAGAATGTATGTACCAAGTTGATCTCTATTCATTTTTATATATTTAATGAATGATAATATTAATGGTAATTTTTTAATAAAAATAAAAGTAAAAATTTTTAAATTTAAATTACATATTATGTGAGTGGGTTGAATTAAGAAAAAAGAAATTTTTAATTATGTAAATTAAGATAAAAAAAATGATGTTACGCCCCAGAACCCAAATCCCAAGCGCGACAGACGCCGTGCACTCGTGAGATGAGTCCACAAATGCACAAGGCTCGGAACTTATCACACTACAATCTAATACCATCAAAATCTGAAGATCAAATTATAAGATTTCTCTGATCATAAATCTCCAAATACACTCTAGCTTACAAGATCATGATTTATTTTGAAAATCTATATCCAATTACAATATGGCTAGCCTTCTAACTCGTCACTTCTCGTGGTTTCCCCGTCCTCGGTTTCATTTCCTGAAATGGTGGACAAGGAAAAACTATGAGATAAACTCAGTAAGTAAAATATGGATTGCCCCTTATCAAACTTAAAGCATGCCAACAAGTACAATCACGCAAATCAAATACAGTACAGGAACGAAATAGACGTCTCCTCTATAGGTCATGGCTATAGGTCATGGCCAGTGTATAATCCCCACTAGCAGGGCCACGATTTGCTGGTGTATAACCCCCACTAGCTGGGTTGAACGAACCGGCTCTATCACTACATGTTGACATGTGCTAGCGTTTATAACCTCCCCCACTAGCAGGGTCACGAATAACATGACCACATCGGAGACGAAACAAGTAGAAGTTAACAGGAAAATCACAATTCACAATCACTTTCAGATCATTAGGACAGTTCACAATCACTTTCAAGTAGGCATGCTCAATTTAATGAAAAACATAAACATTTCACTTCAAATAAGTCATGCTCGTGTAAAACGGGTTTAGTCTCGCCACCACTTCAAAAACAAACCAAAACATGCTTTTAAAAACAGTACGGGCATTACCATAAATTTACTTACCTCACTCGCATAAAACCGAGCACTCAATTCACGCACTAACTAACAGAACGATCAGGAACCTAATCAAAACACCTCAGAATTAATATCGGACTATAACAAATTCAAGCTGAAATCATCATTAGGATCATTCCTAATCACAATGCTATTTCTATCACTTTCCACATGATCGGACATCTCCAAATTCGTTCTCATATCACAAACTAATCATTTAAATTCCCACTAAATGTTGGCCCTCGGGGTGTGAACAGTAACCGGTGAACAGTAACCGGTGAACAGTGACTCCGACGTGAACAGTAACTCCACTTCCCAAAATTGGCCAAAACACTAGCTAATCTCACGGGATTTCACTCCAAAAATCACAGCAATCAATTAACACTCAATCACATAAATCCCACTTCAATTAAGCTAAATCATGGTCCTAAAGCTATCAAATTCTTCCCCATTTTTCTAGCAAAATTCGGACACACAATAGGGGCAGCAATTGAAAGCAAATAAATGGACAAATTCGGGGGCTTGGAGGGCTGCCACATACCAGAATTCTCCAGCTAAAACCGGAGCTGCAGTTGGGGAAGAGGCCGGCGGCAAGCTGCAGGGAAAGCTCACGGGTTTACCCAAAAATTGGAGAAACAAGAGCAATTAAAGTAAACCCAGGGCAATTCAAGCAAGAACAAAGGAAATTAGGGGCTGTTCTTACCGAAAACCGGAGCAAATCACCCCCACAAAGCAGGAGCAGCCGGCGGAAGGACAGAGCAAAGCAGGGCAGATCCGGATTTTCCAGCAGGGGGGAAAGATTTCTGGGTTCTAGGTGTGTTCTAGAGCAAGAAAGGAAGGAGAAAACCAAGCTTATCTCACCGGTTTCTCAAAGGCATGGCTGGGTTCTCTTTCTTTTTCTTTCGAGTGGCTGCAGCGGGAAGAAAGGAAAAGAAGAGCAGAATCGGGCAAGGCTGGGAAGAAAAGAAAGAAAGAAAAAGAAAAAGAAAAGAAGTCATCCTTATCCAAAATCTTTCCCTCTTTAAGTCTCTCAACTTTTGAAATATTCACATTAGGCACCAAAATAATCTTTTCTCACAATCAAGTCCTTAACTTACACTTAAATATTCCCGAAAATTTGAGATATTACAAATGATAATTATAGTTACAAAATCTTTAAAAATAAAATTTAAAATCCAAGTCATAAAATTTTTTTCCCAACAACTTGCTTAAAAATGTAAATTTTTTATTTTAATTTATTTCACTTAATATTTTATACATTTTTAGATTTAAAATATAGAAAACCACATCTACAGCCATACGCTGCATTCCCAAAAGAAACGTAGATCTGACCAGAAACAAAAATACCTAATATAGGTTATTATGTTTGATATGTATGTTAGGAAAAACAAATAATATAATTGATATTTATTATTTAAAAAATATATTATATAGTTAATATTGTATAATTTAAATTATTTTCTGAGGATAAGTTCTTAATATTTGAAGTTGTCTCTTATTTAGTAATTTACATTATTTTATAGGATAAATTTTAGGTAATTTTTTTATTTAATAATTTAAAATTATAAGCTAATATTTCTAAAACCTGATAAAACCTGCCCAATTAGACACAACTACAGAAAATTATTTTTAGCTTCTACCCCTTAATTTCATCCTGGACAATTTTGGTTCTTGTGTGGATCATGCGGGAGCGTGGCTACCTGAGGCGGGCGTTGGTTAGTCTTCGAAAGGTGAGGGATTGGCGCAAACTAAGACTAAAATGGGCACGACTTATAGAATGTTGGGGCGATCTGGCCCAAAGGCCATGTATGGGGCCATAGGGGCTATGACGAGTTGACAACTTGAATGGAGTCGGTGCCGTGAAAGTGTGGTTGGTGAGAAGGCCTAACCACAACCATGCCTACTCGTTTGAGTGAACGACTGAGCGGACACTCGGTTTGGATCTTGCGTGACCAAGAAGCATTTTGGTTTGAAGGGGGTGGAATGAGAGGGGAGAAATAATTATTTTAGACTTTCACGGCATAATAGATTCAAAAGAGGTTATTCAATAAACTAACTTTTATATAGGCTTTACAAAACAACCAAATTTAAATTAATGTAACTAAGAATCCCAATAAATATTCTAACAACATAATAACAACTTAGCGACCTAGTACTAACAATCTATAATAACTACTCTAACAATGTAATCTAGCAATATCAAGAAAAATCTGAAACCTTCTTAACATGCCCTCCTTTAAGCTAAAAGTTTGCAAAATCTTCAATTGAATCAACATTTGTGTCAAATAAAAATATTTTTGTCATCCTACTGACACTTTACCATATTGCAAACACTAAGTAACTTCATGAATTTTAAAAATGTTTCAATTGTGAGAGGCTTGGTGTAAATATCTACAAGTTAATCTTCACTTTTGCAATAAACCATATCAATAGTTTCATCTTCTACTAAGTTATGCAGAAAGTGAAACTCACATGTATGTGTTTACTTCGCCCATGTAAAATTGGATTCCTTAACAAGTTGATTATAGAATTGTTGTCATGATAAATTGAAGTAGCTTCTTCTAGGCAAGATTTCTCTCATCTATTTTAGTTTAATTGGAAAAGAACTTATTTTGACAGTGACCATACCTATGGCACTGGTAACATTCAACGTTTGACTTATCCATTGACTTGGATTTGTGATCTACCACCTGACAATCATAGCTTCTCCATTTTTGTTTCTAATTTTCAATTACAAAAACTTCCCTTGAACTGTTTCTACGAAACCAACTACTAGTGGCAGAAATTTCTTCAAATCTACCAAAATGATATCTCCACCCTTGTAGATCCCTTTACCATGGTCTACACCCTTTGTGGCCTTCAAAGCTTGCTCTTGATCTTGGCGGTTGATTTTGCACTCATGTATGAACAAAGAATGTTGCAAATCATCAAGAAAAAGTTCATCAAGATCCTTAGATTCATTAAGAGGTTGCCCCAAGTCAAGAAGCTTTGATACCAAATGTTAATAACCAATAGATTCAAGAGAAGAAGATGGGAATGATAATCAAGCTCACATTAAATTAAATAAACTAGCCTTTATATAGGCTTTACAAAACAAACAAATCTAAACTAATGTAACCAAGAATCTTAACAAACTTGCTAATAAGACATATAATAACAACTTAATTATAACAAACCCATCATAACTACTCTAACAATGTATTAATCTAGCAATATCAAGATAAAAGTTTGTCTAACTTGTGCCCTTAGGCATAGATTAAGGGTATATTAAATATATCTTTTCATCATAAATTTGTATTGAAAAAATAAAAATTAATATTTAATTTATCAACTGCCTAATTAAATTTAATTACTTGACACTGATATTAAAATTAATATCAGTTTTTTAAAATTTTCTATATATATTTATAATAAAAAAGTATTCTTAATCTATGTCCTTAGGGCATAGGTTAGAAAAACCCTCAAGATAAATTCAAAATCTTCCCAACACTTATAATGTTGAAAAGTAATATAATTTGATTGGTTAAAAAATTCAACCATTCCCTCTCCTCCCCTTTGATTCCCTCAAACTAAATATACCCTATAAATTAATCTTTGGTGTGTGCAAGTGGAAACATGGAAGAAGCCAAGGATAAGTGTATATAGCTTTTTGTGATTTCCATCGATGATCCCATCAAAAGTCTTAGGGGCCATCCATGTTAATTAAGCATGCTTGTCTTGAGTTATATTTCCATTAAACATAAGGGATTAAGAGGAGAAAGTCTTTTACGCAACCATTGCATAATATCATATATATCCCCAACTAGTAAAATGTTGACATCTGTTCACTTATGGGACTACAAAACATCTTCCACTCCGAACTAACATTTATTGTCAATGCTACATTTGTTCCTCCTCTTTTCTCTTCACTTCCAAAAATCCTTTTTTTTTTTTTTTTGTTTTGTTTTTCTAAGATACAAAAAAGGTAAATCACAACTTCATCACATCCCGATGCATCATTTGAAAAACATCTTGTCATCTCCCTCCTCTTCGTTTGTTTTTACACCATCCTCCTAAGTGGGAAAAATTCCCTTTCTTCTAATTGAGATACATAAAGAGAAAGTCTCATGTTTCATATCCTCAATTCATTGATGCCTCAAAATCACTTTCATCCCAAACAGCTGATATCACGATTGGTATTGTCTTAAGTGTCCTAACACCAAAATTAATACACTTTCATGGATCTTTATGAAGTTATAGTATATTGCAATGGTTCAAGGCTGACAAGGGGGGATTTGTCATGTGGAAAGTAGTCCTTGAGGGTTATAAATACAACTCGAACCACCACATCCAACATATATTCAATATACTTTAAGCTTTCTTAGCTGAATAGCCTACCTTTACTAAAACCCTTATATGTTGACTTAGGTGTCAGAGTGTCTATCCTGAAAGTCAATTCCTTGGGTCTTGTAGGTATTCTGGTTAGAGTTCATTGTTAGAGTTATTGTGTTATTCCAAACATCACTTGTGCAATATATCCCGTGCATTCACACTCCCTCTTCCCAAATCTTGTATACCCATGGGCGTGTTTCAAGTGAAGTGCAAAAAGTGGCTTTTAATACAATCAATCAAAGTCCTCAATGAGAAAGTGCAAAGAAAATTAGTTTAAAAAAATCAAATTTGAAAGACAAAAAAGGAAAATATTGATGGCAGTGTCTTGTACCATAAAGTAATCACATTCGTAGATATTTGTAGATACAAATAAATATCTTGTACCATGTAAGCATATAAATATTTGTAGATACATCTCTCACTAATGAATCATCTTTTTACCCATAAATATGGTATTTCTTTTCCAAATTTGTTGTATCACTCCATCTCTATTTTGTGGGTATGTTGTTTCTTAGGTTGGGAAAAAAGTAAGAGGGAGGAGAGACAAATAGCTTACATTAATGATAAATGTTAATGGGAAGTAGAAGATGTTTTGTGGTCCCATAAAATTGACATGGTGAATAGATGTCAACATTTTATTGGTTGGGGATATATCTGACCTGGTGCAACCGGTGTGTAGAAGACTTTTTAGTTTAGGAGACTTAATTTATGACACAAATTAGTGATTAATTTGAAAGAATAATTCATCAAATCTAAACGTCTGTTTAGATGAAAATTAGTAAAGGGAAAGGAAGGAAAGAGAGGGGATGTAAAGGGAAGAAAAGGGTTGATGTTAACCTTATTTATATACACAAAAGTAGAGAAGGAAGGACAATATTTTTAATTAATTAAATAATTTGAAGAAAAATAAAATAAAG